GTCTCTGTGTGATGAGTCTGTGGGTCTCTGTGTGGTGAGTCTGTGGGTCTCTGTGTGATGAGTCTGTGGGTCTCTGTGTGGTGAGTCTGTGGGTCTCTGTGTGGTGAGTCTGTGGGTTCTCTCTGTGTGATGAGTCTGTGGGTCTCTCTGTGTGATGAGTCTGTGGGTTCTCTCTGTGTGGTGAGTCTGTGGGTCTCTGTGTGGTGAGTCTGTGAGTCTCTCTGTGTGATGAGTCTGTGGGTTCTCTCTGTGTGGTGAGTCTGTGGGTCTCTGCGTGGCGAATCTGTGGGTCTCTCTGTGTGATGAGTCTGTGGGTTCTCTCTGTGTGGTGAGTCTGTGGGTCTTTGTGTGATGAGTCTGTGGGTCTCTCTGTGTGGTGAGTCTGTGGGTATCTGTGTGGTGAGTCTGTGGGTCTCTCTGTGTGGTGAGTCTGTGGGTCTCTGTGTGGTGAGTCTGTGGGTCTCTCTGTGTGGTGAGTCTGTGGGTCTTTGTGTGATGAGTCTGTGGGTCTCTGTGTGGTGAGTCTGTGGGTATCTGTGTGGTGAGTCTGTGGGTCTCTGTGTGGTGAGTCTGTGGGTCTCTCTGTGTGATGAGTCTGTGGGTCTCTGTGTGATGAGTCTGTGGGTCTCTGTGTGGTGAGTCTGTGGGTCTCTGTGTGATGAGTCTGTGGGTCTCTGTGTGGTGAGTCTGTGGGTCTCTGTGTGATGAGTCTGTGGGTCTCTGTGTGGTGAGTCTGTGGGTCTCTGTGTGGTGAGTCTGTGGGTTCTCTCTGTGTGATGAGTCTGTGGGTCTCTCTGTGTGATGAGTCTGTGGGTTCTCTCTGTGTGGTGAGTCTGTGGGTCTCTGTGTGGTGAGTCTGTGAGTCTCTCTGTGTGATGAGTCTGTGGGTTCTCTCTGTGTGGTGAGTCTGTGGGTCTCTGCGTGGCGAATCTGTGGGTCTCTCTGTGTGATGAGTCTGTGGGTTCTCTCTGTGTGGTGAGTCTGTGGGTCTTTGTGTGATGAGTCTGTGGGTCTCTCTGTGTGGTGAGTCTGTGGGTATCTGTGTGGTGAGTCTGTGGGTCTCTCTGTGTGGTGAGTCTGTGGGTCTCTGTGTGGTGAGTCTGTGGGTCTCTCTGTGTGGTGAGTCTGTGGGTCTTTGTGTGATGAGTCTGTGGGTCTCTGTGTGGTGAGTCTGTGGGTATCTGTGTGGTGAGTCTGTGGGTCTCTGTGTGGTGAGTCTGTGGGTCTCTCTGTGTGATGAGTCTGTGGGTTCTCTCTGTGTGATGAGTCTGTGGGTCTCTGTGTGGTGAGTCTGTGGGTCTCTGTGTGATGAGTCTGTGGGTCTCTGTGTGATGAGTCTGTGGGTTCTCTCTGTGTGGTGAGTCTGTGGGTCTATGTGTGGTGAGTCTGTGAGTCTCTCTGTGTGATGAGTCTGTGGGTTCTCTCTGTGTGGTGAGTCTGTGGGTCTCTGCGTGGCGAATCTGTGGGTCTCTCTGTGTGATGAGTCTGTGGGTTCTCTCTGTGTGGTGAGTCTGTGGGTCTTTGTGTGATGAGTCTGTGGGTCTCTCTGTGTGGTGAGTCTGTGGGTATCTGTGTGGTGAGTCTGTGGGTCTCTCTGTGTGGTGAGTCTGTGGGTCTCTGTGTGGTGAGTCTGTGGGTCTCTCTGTGTGGTGAGTCTGTGGGTCTTTGTGTGATGAGTCTGTGGGTCTCTGTGTGGTGAGTCTGTGGGTATCTGTGTGGTGAGTCTGTGGGTCTCTGTGTGGTGAGTCTGTGGGTCTCTCTGTGTGATGAGTCTGTGGGTGCTCTCTGTGTGGTGAGTCTGTGGGTCTCTGTGTGGTGAGTCTGTGGGTCTCTCTGTGTGGTGAGTCTGTGGGTCTTTGTGTGATGAGTCTGTGGGTCTCTGTGTGGTGAGTCTGTGGGTATCTGTGTGGTGAGTCTGTGGGTCTCTGTGTGGTGAGTCTGTGGGTCTCTGTGTGATGAGTCTGTGGGTCTCTGTGTGGTGAGTCTGTGGGTCTCTGTGTGATGAGTCTGTGGGTCTCTGTGTGGTGAGTCTGTGGGTCTCTGTGTGGTGAGTCTGTGGGTCTCTGTGTGATGAGTCTGTGGGTCTCTGTGTGGTGAGTCTGTGGGTCTCTGTGTGGTGAGTCTGTGGGCCTCTGTGTGATGAGTCTGTGGGTCTCTGCGTGGTGAGTCTGTGGGTCTCTGTGTGGTGAGTCTGTAGGTCTCTGTGTGGTGAATCTGTGGGTCTTTGTGTGGTGAGTCTGTAGGTCTCTGTGTGGTGAGTCTGTGGGTCTCTGTGTGGTGAGTCTGTGGGTCTCTCTGTGTGATGAGTCTGTGGGTCTCTGTGTGATGAGTCTGTGGGTCTCTGCGTGGTGAGTCTGTGGGTCTCTGCGTGGTGAGTCTGTGGGTCTCTGTGTGGTGAATCTGTGGGTCTCTCTGTGTGGTGAGTCTGTGGGTATCTGTGTGGTGAGTCTGTGGGTCTCTCTGTGTGATGAGTCTGTGGGTCTCTGTGTGGTGAGTCTGTGGGTCTCTGTGTGGTGAGTCTGTGGGTCTCTCTGTGTGATGAGTCAGTGGGTCGCTGTGTGGTGAGTCTGTAGGTCTCTGTGTGGTGAGTCTGGGGGTCTCTCTGTGTGATGAGTCTGTGGGTCTCTGTGTGGTGAGTCTGTGGGTCTCTGTGTGATGAGTCTGTGGGTCTCTGTGTGGTGAGTCTGTGGGTCTCTGTGTGGTGAGTCTGTGGGTCTCTGTGTGATGAGTCTGTGGGTCTCTGTGTGGTGAGTCTGTGGGTCTCTGTGTGGTGAGTCTGTGGGTCTCTGTGTGATGAGTCTGTGGGTCTCTGCGTGGTGAGTCTGTGGGTCTCTGTGTGGTGAGTCTGTGGGTCTCTGTGTGGTGAATCTGTGGGTCTTTGTGTGGTGAGTCTGTAGGTCTCTGTGTGGTGAGTCTGTGGGTCTCT